TGTAGTCTTAGAATGGGAACAGACAGCCTGGAGTAGGAGATGGTTGCAATCTAATTATGGAAAACACGGGGCAGAGTGTGTGGTCCAACCAGGGGTGGAGAATGGGAACAGGTTGGCAAAGGGATTGTGGTGTTGAATCTAAGAACTAAGAAATATACATGAAGTGTATATTTCCAGATTAAGCAGTAAGTCAGTGTGGAGGAAAATGGAATTCAATTTTCAGATAGGAGCCAATCTAGAGAAGACTTTGTAGGCAATAGGATGGAGTTTGGTACGAATCAGCAAAGGCTTTTGTGAATAAAATGACATGACCAGATTGTTGGCTTCTCATACAAGTAGATTCAAGGGGCTTAGACTGGAGGAAGAAGACCCATCAGGAGGCTGTTTTTGTAAGCTAAGCAAGAGATGGTGGAAGCTGGAGCTAGAGCAGGGCCTGTTCAGAACAATATTTGGGAAGTGAGGTGAGGATGTGCGGGTGGGGAGTTGGAATAATAATGCATGGATGTATGACTTTTGCTTACTGGGTAAATATCAAGTAAAAATCTTTAAAAGTTTTAAATCTTAAACTAAGGCTACACAGTAAAGTTGGAGACGACTGAATATCTTGGTTGACTATAGAGGAACTATGCTTAGATTTTTAGAATTTTTTTCCACCAGGTTTTCAGTTCTCTGAGCTACAGTTGCAGCAACACCAGTCCAATAGCTGTTAGGTTGGTGCAAAAGTAATTGCGGTTACGGACCATGAATTTTAAATCATTATAACTAGGCCCAAACACATCTTTAGTAATCAAAATACGAACCATTACAATCCACACATTTTTGCCAACGAGAAGTAAGTTTGTTTCTTCCTGTAGCATAAAAATCCGTGCCTCGACGGATTTTTCCGAGAGTTCGACGAACTCTTGGGAAGCATTTTCTGCATCCTGCTGGTTGTGGAAACGTTTTGCCTGCAAAAAGTTGTTGAGATGCTTGAGGACGTGGTAGTTGGTTGGCGAGAGGTCGGGTGAATATGGCGGATGAGGCAAACTTCGTAGCCCAATTCGTTCTACTTTTGAAGCGTTGGATGTGCAACATGCAGTTGGGCGTTGTGGAGAATTGGGCCCTTTCTGTTGACCAATGCCAGCTATAGGCATTGTAGTTTTCAGTGCATCTCATCGATTTATAGAGCATGCTTCTCAGATGTAATGGCTTCACTGGGATTCAGAAAGCTGTAGTGGATCAGACTGGCAGCAGACCACCAAACAGTGACCATGACCCTTTTTTGGTGCAAGTTTGGCTTTGGGAAGTGCTTTGGAGCTGCTTCTTGGTCCAACCACTGAGCTGGTCGTCACCAGCTGTCATTATGTACAAGAAGAGAAGATGACACTTCAAAACAACAGTTTTTTTGATTTTCAGTCAGTTCATGAGGCACCCACTTATTGAGCTTTTTCACCTTTCCAATTTGCTTCAAATGCCAACCGTAGAATGGTCGATGTTGAGTTCTTTGGCAACTTCTCATGTAGTTTTAAGAGGATCAGCTTTGATGATTGCTCTCAATTGGTTATCGTCAACTTCTGACAGCCAGCCACTGTGCTCCTCATCTTCAAGGCTCTCTTCTCCTTTGCTAAACTTCTTGAACCACCACTGCACTGTACATTAGCAGTTCCCAAGGGCCAAATGCGTTGTTGATGTTGTGAGTTGTCTCTGCTGCTTTATGACCCATTTAGAACTTGAATAAGAAAATCATTGGAATTTGCTTTTAGTCTAACATCATTTCCATAGTCTAAAATAGATATAAAATAAACAGCAAGTAATAAGTCATTGGCAAGAAAACATAAAGAAATGTGCATTAAGATGATGTATAACATAACCACATTTATTTAAGAATGTATTCCAATATCAAATGGCAAATTTTAACAATGCTAAAATTGCAGTTACTTTTGCACCAATCTAATACTTATTTACTTCCAGTCTTTCAGACCCAACCCTTGTTCTTTCTGTGGTAGACTTTGATGTTGTTTTGTAAAATGAAGATAAGTTGCATTTGAACTCTGGGTTTCCAGTAAAAATTCTGCACTTTAATGTGAGTGCAGAAATGTGAGTATTTCAGCCATGCGTTTGCTTTAATTGTTTTATTTCTATAGTCTGATGCAGGCTGGGAAGAATACTTTGATTACATCTTTCCAGAAGACGCTGCCAACCAACCTAACCTCAAGCTGCTGGCCATGGCCAAACTTTGGAAGAAACAGCAACAGGAAAAGGAGGATGCTGAGCAAGATCCAGATAAGGACATCGATGAGAGTGAATCCTGACCTTTTTTTCATATCGATAAATGTTTTTATTTTTATAAATTAACAGTTTGGAATTCTTGTGACTCCTGGAAGTTTTTATATATTTCACCAGTAAGAAATTGATTGGTATCTTTGATAGCCACTTTTTGAATTATTTTTAAAATGCTCTTGGGTTAAGTAGGGGTGGGGAAATGCAAGTAAAGGAATTTTCTACTGCTGGATTTCTTTGTCCGATGAGTCCAAACTTTTCTAATGTTTGTCCGTGGCGTGCATTAGGAAATGTAATTAAGGTAATGCTTAGCATCCATTTAGGTGAACCTGTGGACTTTTGAGTTTTTTAAAGTTTTCAGGTTACATTCCCCAGTAATTTTACAGGTGTAGTTTTCTTGTGATTGTCTTCTTCATAAAGATATTTTATGCATTCATCTAAAACCTGTCTTTTCATGTCTTCCTAGTCATACAAACTTGAGTTCAGTTCCCAGCTCTGCCACAGTGATTATATTAGTTAACCTTAATTTTCAGTTTCCTCACTCATAAAATGGGCCAATACTTTGATATCTCATTTTAAAGATTACATTAGAAAAGGAATATGCTTGGCTAATGGTATAAGTCCTCAATAAAACACTTTCTTAAATATGTTCATTCCTTATAGAATTGAATGCACATGGATTAACTTCTAAATATCCTTACCTTCTTAACAGTGGCCAGTTATACTAAGTGCTTTTTAGAACATTACTTGGAAAATAATTCACAGGACTATATTTCTGAACAAAGTCTTGTTTACCAAGAAAATTTTAGTCTAATTTTCAGTTAGGTTCCCGTCAGTTCCCCAAAGTGGTTGAGCTTTGTAATAGCTTGTTTAAAGAACAATGGCTTGTTTACACATGTACTCTGAAAAATGATATCCCATGTTCAAATAAGTTTGGGAAACTCTGGATTAAGGCTTAAAACTCATTAATCAAGTCTTTTTATAGTTAGGCTTCTTGGAACCTTTGCTATGCTACTGAATGTTGAGTCTCTAGTAATCATGTGGCCATATTGTTTCCTAAACTTAGTAGACAATGGAGTTATTTCTGCCTGAAGTCCCAATAAGCATCTCCCAATGTGCTACAGTAGAAAATGTGTACTCACAACTCCTGACACTCTAATTTTACCCTTGGTTTAAAGGATGTGCAAAAACACCTAAGATAACTATACTAAATAATAAAACTTACAGTAGCACAAGAATGATAATGTATTTGCTGATATGTTGCTCACATTCTCAAGCAAAAAATATTTGCCTTAATTAACTGAGCTGAGAGATTGTGTCTTTTAGTGGGGCCTGTATTTCTCAAGCATATTTTTTGTTGTTCACTGCCAAGGACTGGAATTGCATTTTCAGACTTTTCACCTATAAGGATCATTAATAAGCAAATTTATTATTAAATGTGCAAATGTATTATTCACCCAAGGGAGTAAAAGCTACTCCATAATGTTACTAAATTCTGTCTTGAAAATAAGATACAGTGTTTGAGGGCAGAATAGGACTGTTAGGATAAAAGGCAAATGTTTTCAGTCTCACTGCTTTAGTCACTGGACCAGTGTCAGCCTCTGGGTGCCAGATTGGTTCTGACTTTTGAGTACCGATATCTGTCTAGTCAGTATGGAGAATTGTGATTTGAATATCCTTTAGCTAGTCCACAGAATTAAGGGGTGAAATGAAAATAGGTCAGCACATTAATATAAATGATTAATTACAATCTTTCTACCTGTTCTGTTTATGCTGCGTATGTGCATGAGACAAAAGATTAGTGATCACGTTCTCAGTCATGTTTTCCATGTAGCGTTGTGGCAGAGCACAAGTGCTAGTGTGAAATGCTTGAAAGAAAGTTACTCTCTCATGGGAGAACAGAAAGGATTCATTTCTCTCCTACCCTCAACTCCACCAAAATAAGTCCTTTCAGAGTAAAAGCTTTTTAGTAATCATTTCTTGTGGATTTTTCTTTAGTTACATATTTTGCTAACCAGATATTTTCAGATATGACAGATGATGAAAACTACACATGAAAATATGTGGTTGGTCTGTGATATAGTTATATGGCCTCTCTTTAGGAATTAGGTTCATTTTCCTCTTAAAAAAAAAAAACCTCAGCATTTTATATTTAGAAAGGTAGACCGGGCGCGGTGGCTCATGTCGGTAACCCTAGCACTCTGGGAGGCCGAGGCAGGAGGATTGCTTGAGCTCAGGAGTTTGAGACAAGCCTGAACAAGAGCGAGACCCCGTCTCTACTAAAAATAGATAGAAATTCAATGGACAACTAAAAATATATAGAAAAAATTAGCCGGGCATGGTGGCGCATGCCTGTAGTCCCAGCTACTTGGGAGGCTGAGGCAGGAGGATTGCTCGAGTCCAGGAGTTTGAGGATGCTGTGAGCTAGGCTGATGCCACAGCACTCTAGCCTGGATAACAGAGCGAGACTCTGTCTCAAAAAAAAAAAAGGTAGGATTTAAGCAAAGTATTGTGGGAGGAGAAAAGATCTGGGACTAACAGTATGAGAACAAGAAACTGGGAAGAATTTACTACACAATAAGAAGGAAGCTTAAGTATGCTGGGCAGGGATTATTTCAAGTGTGCATTTAAAAATGCTATGTATAAAAATCACAAATTTCAGACAAACAACATATCCTAAAAGATGACCTTTCACAATCCTGATTTAGTTTTATAAATGATGCACAAACTTCCAGAAAACATTCATAGAGTCAACAATGTATTTCATTATACATCTTAGATTTATACATTTCATATATGCTTTTAAAGCTTCAATTAACAGTTCAATACAAAATTAAAAAATATATATTTGTAGCAGTGGTTCTCAGGCACAGAATTTAGGAGATTGGAGCAAGTCTTTTCCCTAGTATTTATACAGTGACTATTACGAACCATGAGAGTGGAATGTTTCCTTCTGACCTAGCTGCATTTTCGATTTAATTTTATAACAGTGAACAGCTTTATAGGTATGATATTGCTAAGCGGAAACAATGAGATTTAAAGTAGGTTGATAACCTGTATTTCTTGAAGTCTTTAAGACCTAAATTATTACTTTTCTCCAATAGAACTCCAAGATCACCCAATGAAAATAATATTGTCCATAAAGTATCTGGAGCATCTGCCTAAGAACCACTGCCCAGGGTTATTCAATGTCTTCAGGCCTCACAGGATGAGGTAATGGTATGATGGATTTCTTCTCTGTGTCCCTGGAAAGTGCCTTCCTCATATCTGCAAGGAAGCAAAGTTTAAATGTAAGCAACCAAATATCAAAGTATTTTATGTCAAATTTAAAGTGTATAGGAAAGGTTCCCAGAAGAGGTTTTTCCCCTATCCCCACTTCCACCAGACTCTAAGCGAGATATATTTATAAATGAGTCTTCCAATTGCCAAGTATACCAGATGCTAACCAAACCCCACCCAAGATTCAGCTTATAAGACAAATGTTCTTTCTCATTAGTAAAATAACATGCCTGTAACATAGTAAAACAATAATTTATAAAAATTAACCATTGGTTTAGTTAATAGATAAGTTATAATTACTAATAGGTTCATAAAGGCAGTTAAAAGAGATTTAAATATTAAGGTCAAATATGATTCTTTTAAATTTAGTACAATATTTAAATACTTCAATCTGTAGAATGATTCTGTCTCAGCTTCCTCTTTGGGGATACTGCCACAGAAAGGAGCTCACCATAAGCATCCTCGTCAGGCTCCCCGTTGCTGGCTGAATAGTATTCTATGACTGTCCTGTATACGCTGTAGCCCAACTGCTTGTACATGTTGACTGCAACTTGGTTAGATACTCTTACAAAGAGATCAACAAAAAATCCACCCTTTCTTTAAAAAAAAGAAGGAAAATGTTAGAATGTGAGAAACACAAGAAAGTAATAGACACATATTTTTAAAAACAACACTTGTTCTTACTTTGCTTTGACTACTACTCATAGTATGATAGGAATAGGACCTTGCAGCTTTACATGATAGCAATTTTTATTACTTAGGATTTATGACAATTATTTCATAGTACGAAAAGATGACTTTGTGTTTGCATGCCAGTATCAGTATTTCAAAAGCTACGATATATGTTTTCTTAAAAGATAAACTCAAAAAAGCTTTTTTTTTTTAACAATACTGCTTACTGCTACCTCGTTTAAATTCCTGAATTCCTATGTATTTTATATCATAGTAATTGATGTAATCATTTTATGTATTAGTTATAGCATAGGATTTTTTCACCCACATGTACAAATAGGAGATTATGAAGCAAGCACCCATATGGCAATGACCCAACTGTAGCTACAGGACAATGGTCCCCCTGAAGCCCTCAGGTCAGTAGCATCCCCTTACTCACCCAGTGGCCTCCATGTCTTGACTCTTGTGACTAGACTATTATCTCCTTGCTTTCTGCTGTAGATATCATAGTTTCTATTTATGAACTTTAAATGGAATCATACTTTATGTACTCTGTGATTTGCCTCTCTCAATCAGTATTGTGAGAGTCAGCCTTATGTGGTTGGAGTTTGTTCATCTTTACTTTGTTTAGCATTTTTTTTGCATGAATATACCACAAGTCATCCATGGTCCTACTGATAAGTATTTCCAGTTTTTACTATTACAAACTATGCTGCTATGAATACTCTTCTTGAGTGTCTCATGGTACAGTATCTAAGGTCTAGCTATGAGTGTCATTGCTGTGTCATAAGGGTATGCACATCTTCAGCTGTATCAGTTAATGCTATTTTCCAACCGTTTTGTACCAACATACACTCTCAGAGAAGTGGTTAAGACTCCATTTCCACAGTAGCAAGGCTTGGTGCATGAGACATTTTTATTTTTGCCAATCTTATAGTGTAATGGTATCTCATTGTGAGTTCAGTTTGATTTCTGATTACTAACAAGGCTGAATATATTTTTGTTTATTGGCCACTTAGATTTCTATCAGTACAGTATTTATTAATAAATCTTTCACATGAGCTGGAACCCATTCTACTAAGTGAAGTATCCCAAGAATGGAAAAATAAGTACCACATGTACTCACCAGCAAATTGGTTTCACTGATCAACACCTAAGTGCACATATAGGAATAACATTTATTGGGCGTCAGGCAGGTGGGAGGGGGGAGGAGGGGATGGGTACATACATACATAACGAGTGCGATGGGCACCATCTGGGGGATGGACACGCTTGAAGCTCTGACTCAAGGTGGAGAGGAGGGGGCAAGGGCAACATACGTAACCTAAACATCTGTACCCCGATAATATGCTGAAATAAAAAAAAAATCTTTCACACAATTTTTCCCCTTATCGGGAGTTCTCTATGTATTCTGTATGTTTAACATTGTGTAATGTTTTTGCAAATTTCTTCTTCCAGTTTGTGGTTTGTCTTGTCATTGTCCTTACAGTATCTTGTGATGAACCAAGTTCCTTCAGTGAAGTTGAATATATGAACTTTCCTTTATAGTTAGCACTTTTTATGGCTTAATAAGTTCTTTTCTACTCTGAGGTCATGGAGACACTCTCCTGGTATTATACTCAAAGGACTTTTTAGTTCTGCTTTTCACATACAGGGTTTTAGTAAATCTGGAATTGAGTTGTGTATCGTAAGGTAGTAATGTGGGAAAATTTTTTCCTATATGGATATCCAATTGTCCCACCACCTTAACTAAAAAGTCTATCTTTACACCATTGATCTGCAGTGCCTCCTCTGAGGTATGTTAAAATCCATGTATTCTTGGGTGTTTCTCAAATTCTGTTCCACTAGTCTAGACAACTACTCCAGCACTAATACACAGTCTTACTCACTACAGTTTGATATCTGGAGGGGCAAATGCACCCATTTTTGTTATTATTCAAGAATATCTTGTCTCTTTTTTGCTCTTTCCATTCCCCTGTATATTTCAAAATCAGCATAACAAGTCCCACAAAAAATGCTTGGGGTTTTGACTGCAATTACATTGGATCTGTGGTCAGTTGCCAGTTTTACAACAGAGGTATTCACTTAGCTGGACCACTTTAATGACCCTCAATAAAGTTTTATAAATGTCAAAGAGGTCTTGCACAGCTTTTATTAGATTCTTCTTAAGCACTTAATGTTTTTTCTAAATTTTACTGTTTGTATATAGAAATACAATTGATTTTTATACTTTTGGATTTTCTATTTGTACAGTCATCATCTGTGCAAATTAACAGTTTTGTTTCCTCTCAATCCTCATATCTTTTATTTTTCTTGCTTTCCTGTGCTGTCTAGGATTTCCAATAAATTACTGAAGAGAGGCTGATGTAAACATCCTTGCTTTGTCCCTAATTTCAAAGGGAAAGCATTCAGTGCATCACCACTGAATACATTTACTGCAGGTTTTTTGTATTTTTTCAAGTTAAGGAAGTTCTCCTTGTGTGTCCTGCTTTGCTAACAGTTTCTATTAAGAATGAATACTGGATTTTATCAAATTTACTGTATTTACTGAAATAACAATTGTTCTTTAGTCTAAAGTTAAAAAAAAAAACTTGTTCCTGATGTATCATCCACTTTATGTATTGCTGAATCCATTTTGGTAATGATTTTTCTGGGATTTTGCATCTAACAACTCATATTTTTCCTATCTCATATTTTTTGTCAGGTATTGTTATCAAGGTTACCCTAGCCTTAAAAAATAAGTTGAGGAATATTCCCTCTTTTTGTGTAAAGTGACTTTACAGTCATTATGTCTTAAACGTTTGGTAAAATTTGCCAGAGAAACCAGTTTTTTTTTGTGGGAAGTTAAGGCAGAGATTGGCTTGCAACCTGTTTTGGTACTGCCCTCAAACTAAGAATGGTTTTTGCAATTTTGAAGGCTTGTGAAAAAAAGGATAAGAATATGCAACAGAGACCTTAGGTGGCTTGCAAAACCTAAATATTTATTATCTGAGCCAGAAAAAATTTGCTGACCCTTGTTCTATACTCTTAACCAATTTGTCTCATTGTTTTATCAATTAGAAAGAAGCATGTTCACATCTCCCATTATGATAATGATTTGCCTATTTCTTATAGTTTTGACAGCTTTTGCATTTTTACTTTGAATCTATGTCACTGAGTACATAAAATTTTTAATTGTTACAGCTGGATAGAGTAAATTTTTTTTATTTCAAAATATTACAGGGGTACACAAATGTTTTTGGTTACATGTATTGATTTATTATGCTTAGGCCAGGGTTATAAGTGTGCCCATCCACCCAGATCATGTTCACTGTACCTGTAGGTAGGTTTTCACCCATTCCTTCCTCTCCCCTTACCTCACTTGATCTTCACTGAGTTTTATTTCCCTCTGTGCACACGTGTGTTCATTGGTTAGTTCCAGTTTAATAGAGAGCACATGTGGTGTTTGCTTTTCCATTCTTTAGATACTTCTTATGATAAAGGTCTCCAGGTCCATCCAAATTTTTACAAAAGGCCTTAATTTATCCTTCCTTATGGCTGAATAGTATTCCACAGTATACATATGGAATAAATTTATCAATATGCAATGACCCTCTTTTACTCTGGTAGTAATTATTCAACTATAATGTAACTATTATAAATACCCTACCTTTTGGTTAGAGTTTGCATGGTAATTTAAAAATTATCTTTACTTTCAGTCTTTATGTATTTTTAATCTTTACACATATTTCCTATAAATATTTATAAAATATGGTTCTGAAAGTCTATCTTTTAACCAGAATCATTAGTCCATTAACATTTACTGTTGAAATCACTGACAGTATTTGGATTTATAGCTACCATCTTATTTCATGTGTTTTGTTTTGCCAGTTTAATTTCCTTTTTCTCTTCTTTGGGATTGATTTCATTATTTGACTTTTTTTTTTTCCTCCTCTACTTGTTTGGAAATTATAGATTGTTTCTATTTTTAATGTACACATTTAAAAATACATGTATATAAGCATTTGTATATGTATGTATATATGTATACACATATCCATATAAATAATAAAGATTACTTAAATCTTGGCAACTATTCTAAAATAATGAAGGTTTAAAAACTGGAAGGGAGGGAACTTAGTGGTTTTCTACCTAAAAAGTTAGAGGAAGCTATCCTATAAATACATTAAATCATATGCACAAGGTCATAGCTAGTTAGAACCCATTTCGTAACTTCGTGTGCACTATACAATAATGCCAAATACTTTTTTCCAACAAGGTTTGTCATTAACAAATGCATGTAAACTATAATCTTGCTAAAAATTTTCTTCCCTTCTGTGTTCAGTCTAGGGAGAACTTTAAAAAATCTTCAAGACTAGAGCTGACTTCTTTTTCAGCTAATACAATTTCCTCTCTTCTCTAACTTGGCTAAGACCATTTGTCAAACCACAGTTATTTCTTTAAAACTTGCCTTTATTAAATCTAATAATTACGTGAAAATTAAGCCTCAAGAGCCCTTCTCAACAACTATTCTCTTTCTTACCACACTTTTTGGCATTTACAGTGGAGAAAGAAATGGCAGCTTGACAAATGGTCCAACTTATACACACATCTCTTATTTCTTCTAGAATAGGAGATGGAAGGAGGAGCTTTCTCTTTTAATTATTTTATTACTTTTATCTCACATGAGGGTGTTTAATACATACAGTCTTTTTTTTTAAATGTCATAATGTTGTCAGTTCCCAAACTGCACTGAGATGCCCCAAACTCATGCAGGTACCATGGGATATTTCAGATGTTTGGGGGAAACACAGCAAAAACTTTCATGACAGATATTGGCAAACTACTAGTTTGAAGTAGTTCACAAATTCAACATTAGATCATGCTACATTCCTTTTAATGACATATTTTTATGAAGCTGGGTTTCTGGCAGTTGCTGTGATTAAAAAAAAAACAGCAGTATCCCATGAAAATCAAGGTGAAATAGGAATGCAGGTGGTTGTGCTGAATCTATCTCCAAGATCTGAGAAGTCATTGAGTGCTCGACAGGTACACACATCTTGTTAGTAGGTTACCAGTTATTTAAGAATTAAATAATTTTTTCCTTCAATTTATTCATTTTTTTCTAAATGGCTATAAGCTGTTAGGCTAGAAATACTTATTAAGCAGTTAGAACATAATTACTTACGATTGAACTATTTTCTTTTGGCCTAGCAGCACTGAAAAATTTACTCAGATGCTGAGGGCAGGCAGTGTTAACAGAGAAGTTGGGCATGTATACCATAATGGCAAGAACACTAAAAGAAACCTTAAGAGCCAATCTTTAAGTCCATCAATTACCCAGCTTACAGGCCTATGGTAGGTCTCTCCAACACTTTGCCTTAAATTTTCCTCAACGGCAAAAAGAAACAATACCACTCTAAATATGTCACAGAATTGTTGTAAGGATTACTGGAGACTGAAAATGAAATTCCTATAAACTAAAGCATGATTGTTATTCAGCCCGAAGAGGGAAAAAAATCTTATAAAAATGTACACCAGAGAAAAATGAAATAGTTGGGGTACATAAATCACCAAGTGTATTTGAAAAAGAGGATCTCACCTTTCTGAAATTTCCTCTAATAACTCCATAAGTTTAGCAGCCAAACCAAGGCGTCGAAATTCTGGGGCAACAGACAGAGCCGTGACGTGCCCATGCCATTCTTCTCTAGCTACTGAGCCTTCTGCTTTACCCATAACTGCCAACAAAAACAAATCGCATTCAGTAATTAAACACACTGATTTGCACATAAAGAATTACTGTTTGGTACATTTTTATTATAAAGGAAACTAATGACAAAGTTTTAATTTTTAATGAGGTAATCCAGCTAATGATTAGTGCTTTTATTTGAAATTCACTTATAAATGTAATGCAACATGCAGTTCTAAAATCATAATTAGAAATAGTTAAAAAAAAAAAAAAAAGAATGATATACTAAAAACACAACTAATTTTGAACAAAGAACCAGGGTATGTGTTTTTTCAAATATCTACATTTCATGTGGGAATATATATTTGTGGGTATATGTGTACACAGACAATTCACAGCTCAAATTTTTGTTAGTAATGCTACTTATTCAATGATGATGCTATGATCCCTGCATTATGTACCAAATAAACCATGTAGAAATTTAACATAGAATGAAAGATCTAAGAAGACTGAGACCACATCTGTCTGGTTCACTGCTGTATCCCCTGGGCCTCGTACAATGCCTAAAACACAGCAGAGATCAGTAAGTTGTTCAATGGTTGAAATAAGATAACAGGCATCATGATTATATTCCAATTCTGCAGTCTAAAACAATCATGTTGAAACCTAATTAAAGTCTTAACTACCCCCCAAAACACTAGTGGGATTATACTTACTATAACCCATCAATTCTCCACCAGGTGCCTCTGCAACAATGAAATACTCCGGCCAGTGGGCGAGGTACTGTAAGTAAAAAGGAATCCCATACTATAGTCCTGTTAAGGAGTGTGAAAAGTAACGGATAGTAAAATGTTCTAAAAGTTTCCTTTAAAAAAAAATATATTGTTACTTTATCCCCAGTTCTAAGTATGATTTCTGTAATCACACCATTACTTGAAATATTAATATTTAGGTACCTAACAAAACTGCCTGGACATATAACCTCAGATGTGGAATGGAGTCAGCACCATCTAATGGAAAGCAGAGAATCAGGACTCCCAAGTTCTACAATCTGTTTCCCTACTGATCGTACTGTATCTAAATCTTTGCATTTATCATACTTGCTATTCTTATTTGTTCACTGTCCATTTCCCCTTAGATGATGAATGTCACGTTCGTTCTATCCCTGGTGTTGGCACATAGATGCTCAATACATTATGCTTCCATAATTGCACTGGAAAATTAATGGCTAGTTCCTACTTTGGCTTCAGCTATGAGACTGTGAAACTAACTTTACAACTTAAGTCCTTCCAGGGGTAACTTAACGATTATCCAGTTTTTCCCTCCACTGATTCAAATTCTCCATTTCTTTTATAGTAATGCAGATAAAAGCTGACTTAAGGAATCAAGTATGTTAACAGTAAATACCTGTGTAATTTGCTCATTACTTAACTCTTCAACTGTGGGATGTCCTTACTGACATGTATTCATTCCTATATTTCTTCTTAGAGTAAGCTTTTTGATGCAATTTTGACAGGACACCATCAATCATATATTTTTAAAAAGAGTTCCTGGAAAACCTGTTCAGTGTTAAATTCTTCAAAATGTCTTCTGAAGGACAGTCATTATTTTGAGTACTCCTCAAAAACAACCCTTAACATGGCAAGCCAGCCAGTCTTCCTGCCAGCCTGCCAATGATGCACACCAGAACTCTCCCTCCTATGGCTAATGGAAGAGCCCCAGACAGTCCTCCCCACCTCCCATCAACCTTTAGGACCTAACAGGTTACTTTCAAATATGGACTCCTCTGGATTATGGGACTTTTACTGTAAATTTTAAATGTCACTAGAAGCACACCATATATAAGTTGATTTGCATTCTCATATTTTCCCTTACTATACAGCAAAGATTTTTCTGTGTCATTCAAAATTCTTAAAAAACCTTTTAGTTTTTAAAAATGATATCTTTAGTCATAATTCTTAAAATATAAATAAAAACTTTGGAGATTTTTTTTCCTTTTTCAATTCAATTTTGTTTCTGATATGTAGTTCCTGTTGGTGCCTGCACATGTGATTTTTACTGCTGTATAGTAATTCCTTGTGGGAAGAAACAACTTGAATATCCTGTCTCCTGACACTGGACATCTGGGTCATTTCCAATTTCTCAAAAAACTTCTAAAATTCTTTAAGAATATAGCTTAGTTTACTTTTCCGTTTCCTTATTGTTGTGTGTATGCATGTTATTCCAGATTTTTAATATTGTAATTCTCCTGCAATAAATAATTTTTGTAATTTTGTGACTCAGGGGTTAGCAAACTTTTTCTGTAGAAGGCCAGATAGTAAATATTCTAGGCTTCGTGGATTATATAGTCTCTGTTGCAACTGTTCAAACCACAGACAAAATATAGATTAATCACCAGAGGTATCCCAATAAAATTTTATTTACAAAAACTTGACAGTGGGCCAAATTTGGCCCACAGGCCTTAGCTTACTAACCCCTGACGTACACTGCCTCTATTTCTTACTATTTTCAGCTTTGAGGAAATGGGATTACTGAGTATTACATTTCCAAAGTGCCTTCCAGAAAGACTGTAGCAGTTTATACTGTCACTAGCAATTTATGAGAATGCTCCTCTCCCTTCACCATTGGGTTTTATCATTTTTTAAAACCCTAGATGATCTGATAAATAAAATATGGCACCACGTTTTTTTTGTTTTTTTTTTTTTGAGATAAGAGTCTCGCTCTGTTGCCCAGGGTAAAGTGCTGTGGTGTCAGCCTAGCTCACAGTAACCTCAAACTCCTAGGCTCAAGTGATCCTCCTGCCTTAGTCTCCCAAGTAGCTGGGACTACAGGCACTCACCATGATGCCCGGCTAATTTTTTTATTTTTAGTAGAGACGGGAGTCTTGCTCTTGCTCAGGCTAGTCTCAAACTCCTGAGCTCAAGAACTCCTCCCGCCTCAGCCTCCCAGAGTGCTAGGATTATAGGTGTGAGCTACCTCACCTGGCCCACATTTTGGTTTTAATTTGCATGTCTTTGGCGAGACTGGACTGTTAATATGTTCATTAGCCTCCTATATACCCTCTTTTGATAAAGTATCAGTTAATAGAACCGTCTCACCCACCTGCAGTAGACATGGAGGATAACCCAGAAATCAAACTTTGTGTTTTAAGCTACTGAAGATGTGGGGGTTATTGTCTGTTACAGCAGCATAACCCAGAGTACCCTAACACTACACATCTTTGCTCATTTTTTTATTGGCAGCATAATAGAGACTGCTAATTGTTACCCAAAATCCTTTATTCATTTTAGTAACAAGTCCTGATTTAAAGTTGGGCACATTTCTGGACTCCCGATAGGACTACATAGGTGGGGGCATGAGACAGGTATATGTCAGTGAGACACAGGAGAGCTGTGGTACTTCCCAAAGGTACTCTTAAAAGGGAAGGACATTCTGACCTTTCCCTTTTTTTTTTTTTTTTT